GGGCCCTTCTTGTAAATCACAGCCTGGGAAGGATCAAGACCAAGATGTGGACCCATGGCTGTTTTCTGAGTCAGGCACTCCACGCGGTTGTCACTGCCATCGTCAAAAGCCAGCCATGTGGTACCCGGACCGGCTGGGCGAAGGATGCTGAAGAACTTGCCTGAGGTCCGGCGGCCACGATGAACAACATAGCCATAAATGACATACTTGCTACACTGGCCATCAATCACCCACGGAGCCAGGTCCAGCTCCTCGTCTAACTCCACTTTGTCATACCGCAGCTGCCAACGTTTGGTCTTGTCTAGACTATGGCGGCCAAACTCAACATGAAGAAATGATGGAAGCGACCAACGACCGGGCTTAGCACTCAAGTATCCCCTAACGGCTTCGGACGTAGACTTGGCTTGATCAATTGGCATGTAAAGACGCGAGTTGAAACCAGTCGGCAGCATGTTTACGGTGACTTCGCCATCAGAAGACGGAGCATGTACAACCGGACTGTCGAAGATATGAGCGAATTGTTTGCTGGCCTCCGTTCCCTTCAGCTCTAGCTCCAAGTTGCGACGCAGGCGCTCCCAAAATTCGGACACATCGCTCGAAAATTCGTGCAGATTGCGCAAAGTGCTAGTCACGCCGTCCGTATCGACATAGCTCCGAGGGTGTGTCTGGCGGCGAAGCTGCCACATCAACCTTTGAAGGGCCTCACATAGAGGCTTCGGCCTAGCATCAGCATTGGTAAGATGTTCAAGTACGTCAATATTTTGAATGATCTTGCAAAATGGAGCAATGTGCAACCACGAGGCAAGCCCGGCTACCTCTGGGCTATGATTGATGATTGAGTCACCCAGAGGTCGGTAACCGGTCAAGGCCATGCTGTCCCAAGTTGGCTCGGAATCACTTGGATGCCACCAGAGGGACTTGGTGGGGTCGTTTATTACACGAATATACGCGTCAAATGAGAGAGTATCGTCATTCAGAAGGGCACGATGTTGACCTCGCCGGCGTGAATGAATTTGGTCCCATGGGCCGTGGAAATATGTCCACCCCCAATCCAGGTTATGAGTGTTGAATTGATGACAAGAAGACTGCATCCACCCGGTCCGTGGCTCTTGTGGGTTGTATACAATGACACCGACCTGTGCGGGGACACGCCAAGGGTCCGAGGTTCCATGATCAGATGGGGGAGTGTTCCTGGCCGCAGGATATTGAGACTTGTAGTCTTCCAACCACGCTGCCGCATCGTCCGTGGCTGAAGTCTTTAATTGAATCTCGGGTGTACTATCATCCAGTGAGGAATCGGCTGCTCCTCGACGGACCGTAAATTCCATCCCAGGAAGCTTGCCCTCTGGGGCGGGCATGGTGGTAGAGCATTCGAGATATACACTCAATGCATTGACATTGTTCCCCCGAGGATAGAACTTGATTCGCCACCAATAACCCCCAATAAATGCTGGTGGAGAGCGAATTACTTTGTCACGATTGGGGTCTTCCGGGGTGCCTCGAACACCCTTGAAGGTCCACGTGAGACGGGCCTTTTCGGTGGGAATGTATTCTGGATCTCCCAAATCACGAAAAAAGTTGGTTTCCCAATATTTGTCTGTCAAGGGGTTAGCAAATACTGGATGCTTCGTGATCTTGCTTCTAAGGTTGACACCTACGATCACTGGCACTGTAATCCGAACCACCGCCTTCGATCTCTTTCATCTCGTCATCGTCTGGGACCGTTGTGTCCTCCTCATACTCTGCCCAATATGCATGCTCCAGCTCTTGCGAGGGCAGGATTGGCGCGGGCTGAGGAGCTGAACGTGATGACCCGGGGGATCGGTTTGAGTCTGTATTCGGTGTTCTCACCACTCTGGGTAAGGGGTCCATGGCCTTCAATGAGGGAATACCCAATAGTTCCAATAGCTTCCGACGTGTTTCAATGAATATATGAGCGCATGTATACTCCTGTATAACGATTGATAAGGGCTTATCGGATAAGAAGAAGGTTGCGGAGATGTCCACGGGTGGATAGAAGGGGGTCCGGTAGATAGGGAGAGGAACGAGCGAAAACGAATGAACAAGTTCTAGAATAGGGGGGGAAGAAGAAGAGAAAGAAAAAAAAAAGTGGAAGGAAGAAAAGGAAAAAGAAAGAAGATAAGAAAAAGAAACGAAAAAAAAAAAAACACGAGTCCGGGGGAAGTTGCCGAGTGGAGTCTTTTTGTATAAGACTGGATTGCCTAGGCTCACGGATGAAGATTTACATGTAGATAGGGTGCATAGATATACACCTACCGAGTAGATATAGTCTAACTTCAACCTTAGACAACTTGTCTATTATACAGCGTACCTAAGTCTAGCGGTGTGCCAATCCGATCCCCACTCAGGGGAGAATATCCTTATATGCCGAGTTTTGGAAGATTCGGTGGCGACTTGGCTTATCAAATTTCCCTTTCGCCACTGGGCCTTGCAATCCCTGGGTTATCTGAGCCACGCCACCTCGGAAAACTATTCACTTTTCAGGCACATCAGGCATATCAGTCATGTTGGGCCGATCAACGTACCTGTACTTGTACAATGAGCGGGGGCCAACCGTACCAATTGAAACGATCGCGCGATCAAAAGACCCTCGATTGACACCAAACGGACCACTTTTCGACGGTGAGTGACTATTGATTGGCTCTTGGAAAAAGAACCATTTCTAGACCGCGGGTTCCCGCATTGCTTGGCAATAAGTCTTGTCGTACTGAGACTCGACGAGGGGTAAAAGTGAAATCAATTTTGTGTCGATTCAGCACGGGCAAATGAAGCAGCTACAATCATAGGGAATACTGCCGTGGCCTCAGCATAGACCTACAGATGATATGGAAGTCAGCTTGGCACCAAAAGAGATAGAACAAAGAGATCAACCCACCTTGACAGACCTAGCATCCGTCTTGATCTTGCCCCAGCTCACCGCTTCATCCGGCCGCGCACCTGCATCGCTGCCATCGAACTCCTGCGCGGTATTTACATACACTGCGTGCTCGGCCCCGTTGCGCATCAGGCATGCATTGGCGATGTGGTGCTTGACCAACCCACCGCCCAAGATGATCATGCCGGCGCGTGTCGCTCGAACAGCCATGGTGTTGATACGGCGCACATCGTCTACAATATCCACCCGGAGTCGTTGTGGGGAAGACTTGAAGGTGTGAAAGTAAAGCATATCACCCAGAGATCCATCCGTCAGGGCCGGACAGAACACGGGAATTCCATTCCGGGCCGCCCAGTATAGAACCGAATCCTCGTGGTCGATCTCACGACCCAGTCGTTCGGTAATGCGGCTTGGCGTCCAGTGAAGCTCGTCTTCCTCGTCTCCAGTCTCCCGAGCCTTGATCTTTGCAGCCTCCTGTTCCTCCAACATCTTGTCCAAAATAGGTACCACCCAGTCCTCGAAAGCACAGTAGTTATTGTTGGGTACGAGGAGGTTGCCAATGCGGTTGAGGCCCTTGGCACGAAGGCCAGCACCGGGAGTCGAGAACGATCCAAGATATGTGGGGGCCAAGCATTTGATCAAATCCTCCTCCACACCCCCCGCAGTGGTCACAATGGCAGAGACATGGTTATGTTTCACTAAATAACGTAGGGTGTCTCGAAGACCGGAGGAAATCAAGTTCGATGTATAGCCGAGGAAGATGGTGGTTTTATTTCCCGTTTCGGGATCACGGAAGGCGCGCTGAGAAACGGACTATCAGACTCTAATGATTTAAAAGATTCAAAGATTGCAATTAAGTTCATACCATTTCATTGATGATTTGAGCCGCCTCGGCCACCGCACTGCCCTGGAAACCGGTATGGGCCAGGCTGTCCACCATTTCTGCGACAGTGATATCCCTTCCTTGGAACTTATCAAAATCTACCCCGCTCACTATGTGAGATCCCTCTGGGACCGGTTGCGAGCTCTTGAGGACGGAGTCGGTCACCGAAGAGGGAACTATTGAAGGCTGCTGGGCGCTCATATTTGCGATCGGATTGGAAGGGACGGGAAAGAAAATAAGAGAGGAATTGGCGTGAAAGGCGTTAAATCCGCTTAAATGGGGTTATCAAGATGAGGAGTCACAACAAAAAAGGAAGATCAGTTCGGAGTAGAAGGAGAGGGGCAGGTGATCTTTTTTTTTCGGCGGGGAACTTGCATCAGTCTAGGCCTGGATGCCTGGATGCCTTGGGGCCTTGATGCCTCAGGCATGTATCCATAATTAGTACCATTCTAGAATTGGAGACTTCAACCCTGGAGATAGGTTAGAATGAATAAAGAATCTCCTATAATATTGGCTTCATACTCTTCCAAGTGTCTCATGTCTACAAATCTTATCTCTTTCGACACTATACTGCTACATTCATACATGTATGTTGTGCTCTTAGACGCAACATTCAATGCAAATAGAGTTTAGGAGGCACATCCCCACCACACTAGCATCTAACCGGGTTAGTGCCGAGCCCCTTGAAGTCTCACGAACTCATATTCTAAACATATTCCAAACATATTCTTCCTCGACCTGCCTTCCTTTAATCCTCCCACATACTCCACAGAGTATACATTACTCTTTGATTGCATAACATCCGGCGCAAGGAGCTCGCATGATTTCGCCGATCTTGTAACGTGCTAGTGTTTCCTGTTTCAACGTTAAATTCCTTCGCTCGACGAATCTGTCAATCTGTCAAGTTGGACGCTTCATTTGCTCAATTCTCAAGACTCCAATCTAGCAATCGTGAAAGGAAAAGGAACAGTACGTGACATTGGATCTTTCCCTCCCAACTTGAAAAAAGACAACGCCATACCCGATCGGGTATCCGTGCGCTTCAATTCTTCATATGGTCCGTGCATTCATCGTCACGTGCAGACCCTCCCGAGTGTCCGTTCTCCATCTTTGGGTATGTGATGCATTCTGCATTCCTACCGCCTTGGGCTGATTTGCACTGTACATTGAACGCGCTGGAGCGCTAACCAGTCTATAGCTTCATGATAGCATGACGCGATAATGTCCTCCCGATTTCCCCCATCGTCCGGGTTCAATCCCCGTGACCGTTCTCCGCAGCGATTTGGAGACCGTCGCCCGCCGGCTGGTCCTCGTGGTCCTGACGACGGGCCTGCACCATTTGGTAGAGATCCACCCCGTGGTCCTCGGGCTCTTGTTGATTCCCCTCGTGGTGGCCATTTTGGTGGTCGTGGTAGGGGTTATGGCCGTGGTGACTTTCGTGACCGTGACCGTGACCCACGAGACCGCGACCGAGATCGCGATTTTCGAGATAACCGCGATGGCCCGCCGTTTCGCCGAGACATGGACCGGGACTGGGTTCGCCGTGACCGCGATTTCGATCCCCGGGACAATCGGATTGGCTTTGGCCGAGGCCGCTCAAGATCACCGACGCGCGACTTTCGAGACATAAGGGAACCCCCGGGCCGCGATTTTGATCTGGTTCGGATACGACGCAACTCCAGGGACAGCATCATATCTGCATCTTCGGGAGGCCCAGAAGGTCCCCCTCCTAATATTGGCCATATGCACCGGGGAGGCATGCGAGGGCGTGGTCGCGGCGATTGGGAAGGAGGCCGAGGTCGTGGTCGTCCACCCTTCCTTGATGATCGTGATCTTTTCCGTCGCCGTAGTCGATCCCGTGAACCATGGCGTGGACGTGATCGGATGGTGGATCGCGATAGAGATCGAGATATGGACCGGGATCGTGCATTAGACCGTGATCGGGTAATGGACCGAGATCGGGACCGAGACCTTCCACGCCCGAGAGAGCGAGATCGAGAATTAGATCGCGATTTGGACCGTCGAGATCGCTTTGACCGTCGCGAAGATTGGGACAACCGACGACCTGATCGCGAGGACCGTGATCGCCCAGTGGACTTTTGGAAACGGGACCGTCCCCCAAGCCGTGCAGATAGTCGCGCAGCCAGCGGCTCAACTACATCCTCACATGCTCCTACAGCACCCGGCCCTGGACCTGGACCAACCCTAGCAGATCGTCTGCCCGAGCATCCACAAGTGGATCATAGCCGGAAATCTTCGACCATTCTCAGCACTACGGCTCTGGAAACTACGCGAGATTCTGAGGGAAATGACCCTATCGCTGTTCGCACTAGTGGTACTCGACTAGATGCTGTTCGCCCTGAGGCTGTTCGCCCTGAGGCTGTTCGCCCTGAGGCTGTTCGCCCTGAGGCTGTTCGCCCTGAGGCTGTTCGCCCTGATGTTGTTCGCTCTGATGTTGTTCGCCCTCACGCTTCTCGGCTGGATGCTGTTCGACCTGATGCTGTTCGCCCTCATCCTCGGCCGGCTGCTCCTCGATCGGATGCTGTTCGCTCTGACGGTATGAAAAACCCTGGACCAATCATTCGGAATTCACCACCCCCAGCCGCCCCCCAGGTGCCGGCCTTTGGCTCAGTGACTTCCCCAATCACGAATGCTTCCTCAAATAAAGTTTTTTCAGACCAACGCACGGCACCCAATTCTACTTTGCCCACAGAGAGAGACCGCTATGAAGTACCGCAAAGACAACCGGCCCAACCCCCTACAGGGCCCAAGGCAGAAAGGATCGAGAGCATACAGCCTCTTGAACCTCGCAGCCGCCCTGAAAGACCCCGTGAGACTGGCAAGCACCAAGTTGTGCCCCCTCGCCTCTCTAAACCGTCTATCAATTTCCCTGATGTATCACCACCCACCGCTCCAGCTGCCATGACTCGGCCAGATCCGGGGGCAGGGCCTAACGAAGGATTTGGGGCCGGAAGGTCGAACTCACTTACCTCTTCCCCCACTTTTTCACGAATTCCACCGCCTGCCCCACGCGCATTATCCCGTGAACCCTCTATGTCCCCTCAAATGCAATCGTCTGGCATTCCAACCGGCCCTCGAGCATTGCAATGGAAGGCTCCCTCCCCGCGTGGCCGTAAAGGCAGCAAACAGTGGGTGCGACCGGGCTACGGCCGAATACCCTCTATTTCTAATGCACTGCCGAAGCAAGAGCCTGTTGAAGAGAGCGAAGGTGTTTCCCCTGCCAATGAAGCCACACGGCCTCTATTAGCACCTGAGATAGACGACCCCGAGAGTGGCGAGATTCTTCCCCATGAACCTGCGAGAGAACCCTCGCCTGTTTCCCCGCCATTGAACCTCCCACCCCGGCGTAGTTTATCGGCTGTTGACATTCAAACAAGTGATGCAAATGAACCTTCTGAGATGAGCGGCACTGATAAACCCGCCTTGATCCCAGACTTTGAAGGTTCAAGTGATGAGGAAGATGGGGAGAACATTGTTTTCACCCAAGAATATCTTGATGACAGGAAGCGGATATTTGAAAAAGATATGGAGTCACTGCGAGCAGAATTGCCTCCATCACCTTTGGAAGATTCGGCCATTGTGGCTCTTTTGCTAAAAATCCAGCTACTTGGCATGGTAGCCAACGAAAAGACAGTTGAAAACCCCCCCGAACCACTCGCCGAACCACCCACCGAACGAGTATTAGAACAACCAGTGGATCCTGTGCCTTCAGTAGAGGATGAAGAGCCAGTCGACCATTCAACCACTGAGCGAGTGGTCTCTTTTCCCTCCACACTACCCGAGCGCGAACCAGAGCCAATTACTGAAACTATCATCCCCCCCATGGTGCCACCTGATGAGGTTACTATCGAGAGTCTCCCATTCTTGCACTCAGGCCCTCCAATACCTATTTCAGATATGGATGTATACCATGAGAACATTACGATCCAAAATCGTCTCAGAGACACGTTCAGCACAGAACTTTCGAAGGTGCAAGCGAGAACTTTCAGAAAAAATGCACTCCTCAGGGACGAGTATGTGTCTCACTACAAGCTCTGGCGAATGGCTATTTGGGAGCTCGATCGTATGAAGGAGAAGAAGTCCGTGACTCCTGGTCCAGCCTTCTCACCAATATCCACGGTTCCAACTACCCCGGCGCCCATGCCGGAAGGCCGTGAAGGCCGTCGTTACAAAGGAAATAGCGAGCTTGATTTCCTCAATGCTTTGAAGGCCTCCGAAATCTCCGCCCAAGAAGAGCTTGAACGTCGACGAATCAAGATGGCCACTGCTCGGCCCGATCTGGGCCGTGAAGCGATCATTCCGAATATGCTCGAACCGCGGGAGGTAAAGGCCCGTATCTACAAAGATGTGAACAACAACATTGAGTGTAATATGGCTCTGGATGTTTTCGGTTTCGTGCCGCCTCCTAATGATTTCACCCCGGAGGAGCATATAATCTTTACGGACGCCTTCATGGCTCATCCAAAACAGTGGGGCAAGATTGCCGAATCTTTGCCCGGTCGAAATTTCCAGCAGTGTATTGTACACTATTATCTCACCAAGGAAGAGATTAAGTACAAGGCCAAGCTCAGCAAACGCTGGAATAAGCGGAGCAAGGGGACTCGAAAGGGTCCACGACCGAAGTCAAATGCCCTCACCGCAGACATGGGTGTGGTGAAACCTGACCATGTGGGTGAGGAGGAGCCGCCCGCTGTCACAGACACCGGTCGTCCACGACGTGCGGCCGCGCCCACCTTTGGCGATTCCACCGAGGTAGAGAGCACGCCGATTGGCCGTCGGGGCCAGCTTGGCAAGGACGGCGAACCAGTGGATAGACCTTCGACTCGGCGTGGCGGACGGGGCGGAGGTACTCGCGGTGCACGGCGCGTGAAGAGCACTACTCAACCAGATCCGAAGACCCATGTGGTAATGCCACAGGGCAATCTGCCCCCGATTGTACCGCCAACACCACTTCATCCTGGAAGCGAAATGGATTTGGCCTCGGATCACATATTGGAAGGATATGAGGCCCGCGAACAAGAGCGTTCCGAAAAAGAATCCATACCGCCAATTTCTCGAGGCAGGGTGGGACGTGGGCGAGCGAAGGAAGGAGTTTATGTCTTCGAGTCTACTGAGGTTGAACCTTTTCTGGGAACTAAACAGCTTGAGACGGGATATGGATCCTTGCAACCAACGAGTTACTGGTCTGTACCGGAGCAGCGCGATTTCCCAGCGTTGCTGGGACATTTTGGTCGTGATTTCGAGGGTATCTCGGGTTGGATGAAGACCAAGACAACGGTGATGGTATGTATTGGGTACTGAGTCCCAATTTTTGTTTTTCTTCTTTCCCCTAATGTCTTATGTTTGTGGCTAATGTGCAGGACGCAGGTGAAAAATTTTTATCAACGCCGCCTGGACTCGGGCCAGAAAGACTTTGAGTTGATTCTAACGGACGCCGAGGAGAAGAAGGCTCGCGGTGAGGCCACAGGGCCGCTTCCTGTCCCAAGTGTTGCGCCAAAGCGACGATACGAGGCAACTCCGTCTTCTATTATCCCTCGTCCACTTGCCCCTCATGGGGACCCTATGGCCGAGGTCGATGAAATACGATTCCCTAAAGGCAAGCCTGTTGGTCTCTCACCGCAACCCATGTCGCTGCATGGACGACCTCTGTCCGACAAGGACCGGAATGTCGGTCGCTACCAGCCACTGGCACAAGCTTCCGCTGCTTCACCTGTGCCGTCTACCGCAACTCTAATCGAAGAGTCGACTCGGGCAATTCGCGCGCAAGGAGGTCCATCTCACCGCGTTCAGGGCCCACGCCTTGGATATTTCACAGAGGATAGACGAGACTCTTCGGGATTGCCCCATGGCGCGTCTCGTGCGCAAGAACTAGCGATTTCCTCGCGCCATCCTGACTCCATGCCGACGGATATGGCAAGAATGGAACCCTTGTCCACACAGGGCTATATTCCCGCGCAGCAGCCAACTTCTCACCTTTCATCAACCCACTCACGTCACGCCAGCTTAACACAAACCCCCGGCTCGCCATCCCTGCAACTTAGACCCGAACTCGACATCTCGTCTGTTCACCGCGATCCTTTTGCCCAAAGACCTTACTACTCGCTTGCAGGTCAGCCCATGGGTCTACCACAGTCGCCTCGTCCTGGGTTGTCGCCAGTGAAGGACGTCCCTCGCCCGAGTGCGACTCCCGCTCCCGACGCAACTCGTCAGGTGCCTGCAAAGCGGTCTAACATCATGAGCATTCTCAACGATGAGCCCGAAGAGCCCCAACCGCGCAAACGATTTGCCAGTGAGCAGGCTCCATCTGTCCCTGGCGCAACCTCAGGCATAAACCCAAGGCCCATATACCAGGCTAGCGGACCCCCTCGCCATGAAGACAATATTATGTCAGGCATGTCGCAAAAGCCTTCTGTTTACGCCCAGCAAAGCCAATATCAGCCGTCATCTCGCGGCTACTCAGAGTACTCTGGCTATGGTCCCCCTCATGGTGGCTCGGGCACATCAAATAATGACTGGATGGCACGGTTTGATCCACGGGCGCAACAGACTCCGCCACAGCCTCAAGCTCCATCACTGCCACCACAACAGCAGCAAAGCGGCCGTCAGGGTTCGTATTCATCTTACGCGGCAAATCCAGGCCAATCCTCCTTGACGAATCTTTCCGCGCCATCCCCAGCGCCGACTCCGCCGCCAATAAATGCCTCTCAACGATCGGCTTATCCCAACGTTTTCTCCCAAGGCTCCTCTGCTCAACCACCCATGGCCTCTGGCTCCCGAGATATGGCCTCGCAACCGGGTTCCTATCGACAAGGGTCACCTGGCCCGCGTCCCGGTATGGTGTATGGCTCCCGACAAGATCCACCAACGCCAGCGCAGTCTTCGGCTAGCCTGTATGGTATGCATCCGCGGCAGTCAGCAACGCCAAATCCAGTACAGCCACACAGTTATCAACAACATGTGCAAACAATGGTCAGTGGATCGCATCAGCCGCAATCCCACCGCTCAACACCTGTCAACTTACCAGGTGCTTCTTCGCAGTACGGGCACAACACCCCTCCTCCTCAGTCCCAGGCTGGCCGGTCAATGGCATCGCTGGCGAGCCTCGGTCGCTCATACACCCCTCCATCGGCTCTACATTCCTCGATGAGCGGGGGCACTATGGGCGGCTATGCCCCCCCTCAGTCATCTGCGCCTGGATCGATACCGCCACTCCACCAACGACCTCCGGGATCGCTTGGTGACCCTGTATCCACCCAAACACATCACCGTGTCTACAGCCATGGGTCGGCTCAAGGCGTACTACCGCCGCCTTCTCAACCTCCTCGCTAGGGTCCTTTGTTCGATTGATTTGAATGAACTTCATGTGGAAGGCAAGACCGTGACGGGTTCGGTTGTAAATTAATTTGTTGTGTTTGTGTTTCTTTCTCTTGTTTAGCGTCCTGGCATCTTTGCCAGCGAGGATATTCATTTGATTATGGTTTATATGTATAACTAGATGAATGATTTTATGTGTCAAACCTTGATGTAATGAATTTTTACAACCTTGTAGGACTAACTCAATATCTACATTAGAGTGAAAAGTATGCCCTCATCAAGACATGTTACCGGTCCATCTGGTTCATATGGCTGGGCAGGTTCCATTCATCATAGTCCAAATGCACAAAGGCACGGTCGACAGTAGGCACACTCTCGATGATATACTGCAAACTCTCACCAACGTCATGACTATCCCGCAAGCTGATCTTTTCATCCACAACAAGGTCAACTTCAACGTTCAGCTTATCACTCGCGTAGTAGGCTTTCAAGTCCTGAATTTTATGAATCACCCGGGAGAACCGCATGGTCATATACAGCAAAACACTATGATCGTCGGGAGAGGCAGCCGCACCCGTCAGGCGCTGGATGTATTCCGCAGCGGTCTGACCCCAGTTCCACATGATGTAGAAGGAGAGGAATAGACCACCCAAGGGATCTAAGTACCAGAGATTTGCAGCAGTACCAACTACGATCGGTGGCTGTTAGTTGGTACTCTATGTAGGGAACAGGAATAAGACTGACCCAGTGGGAAGATGATGCTGAACGTGTTAAAGACAACGTCAGTCATGGCATCCTGGGCCAGGACCTGGACGCTTGGGCTAGGAATCAATCGGCACCAGATCCAGCAGAGGAGCTTAACCAAAACTGTACCGCCCATCAGCGAGATTGATGGGATGGATAGCTTAACAACCGTGCGGTCGTCCCCAATCAATTGTTTGATAGAAGACAGCGCTACTTGAAAAAAGGAAGTCACCATGATCACCGAGAAGATCAACACACTGACAGGCTCTAACCGGCGTCGGCTGATGGGATACCGGTTGCGATCCTGTCGGCGGATCATAATGGTGGTCACCCAGACAATCACTGTGCTAAGAAAGTCCAAAACCCCATCAACTAGACCTGCGAGCATAGACATGGAGTTAGTCATTGCCATGATAGCGATCTTTGAAGCTAGGAGAGCAACGTTGGCGACAAAATTGAGGCGAATGGCCAGGTTGATGACGCGCTCCTCGTCATCTAGGGACATTCCACCATGCGATTCGAGGTCAGGGAATGGCTCCAATGGGCTGTCTTCTGCGTCGGAAGAATGAACCAAGGGTGTCGTCTCATCGGGGATCCGATAAAGATTATGCGGGGTGCGTTTGACCCTTCCGATCTTGGGATTGGGTTCTGGTGCCTCGGTCTGGTTATCCTCTAACGCAGACGGCTGAAGAATTCTGTTTCCCGAAGAATGGTGATTGCATCCATTGTAGTCTTCGATCAGGTTATGGGGTAGCGAAGAATCCAGTAGTCGGTCAATATAGAGATATTGGGAGATCAGTCCATTGTTTCGTTCATGGTATTTCCGACTATTCCGGGAGTCAGTGCCTAGTTTACTGATGTGAGGGGCAAGCCGACATTTCCTTTGGAAGATTCTTTAATGACTCGGGTGATTTGTAGTAGCGTTTCCTGCGGCGCCGGTTAGGACCGTAATTGCATCAAGAAGGAGAGAGATAGTACCACTCATATCGAGGATTACTGTGTCCAATCAACAACGATCCGCGTCTGAGAATAAGTCGCCTTTCAGGTGTATCGTCATCGAGATCGTTCAAGGCAAGGCTCGATGTACGAGAAGGGAAAAGGTTCAATATGTGTTGGCCTCTGGTGGAAAGAATTTCACGCTCCGGTTCTAGGCTTGGACGTCGGGGACGTAGAACGGGCGAAGGCGATGATGGAGGGGAGAAAATCGGAAGAAATGTTTGGGAAGACATCAATTGGTCCACCACGGTGAAGAAGTGAAGCTAGTAGGAGCTCTTTTTTTTGTGCAAGGTAGGACGCGTAACTAGTTGGTTAGTTATGGTCACATGACTTCTGCCTTGGTGATTAGGTGTCGAGGTCAAATATAAACATCAGCATAGTATAATTGCATCGGTTGTATTCAATGGTAGAAAATATGACACGATGCACGATGTATATCTGTATACAATGTATGTTGGTCGCATATACTCCGTACTAAGGCTCAAGTTGGACTTGCCTAAAGTGGAATAGTGGCTGAATGCTTCGGTACGTCGAGGCCGTACGTTCTTCTTCTCTTCTCCTCATCTTCTCATCTTCTCATCTTCTCATCCTCTTTGTTCTATAAGGCTCGGAATAGGTTCAGTATTCCATGAATATTTCATGGAACCTAACAGTATCAACCATATTGCCTTCATCTCAGGTCCGATCGACACTGGACCTGACAAATCCTACTTTCACACTCACTACTTAACCCAAATCAACCACGCGGTCAACTGCAATCACCTCTTTGTTATTGGTCCCATCCCAAGTGGTGTGGATGCAGATGCACTCGCATACCTCTTGGCATACCCTATCTCACCTAGCCGAGTGACCATCTTTGTGACTCAAGCCGAGAATGGGATGTGGGGGGCGCATTTCCGCTCTTTCGGAGTCAATGTGCGGGTAGTGGAAGGCCACACGAGTCATGATCGAGATGCGGCTTTAACAAGTGCCAGCACGTACGATATTCTACGGGTGCGCACAAAGAAGGAGGCGAAGGCCTTTTATGGCCACATGTGGCGTGACGGGCATGTCACGAATACAGAGCGCAATTGGAAGCGACGTCGAGGAATTGCGGAGTATGAGATTGTAGGAGAGGAGACGATCAATCGTTCAATGGGGTATGACATGGGACCAGCCCTAAGCACCGGCAGGCGTCTATTAGCACGAGTCAGCAAATCTTGCAAAAAGCCGAACAGTTGAGCCACAAAATAGCCACAGAGAAGAGAGAGCACAAGAGAATATATAAAGATCAATACAAAGAATGGGGTTCCCATCATTAGCGGAAATTGGAAGTCTCGTTGTTCCGCGGGGAAATCATTGAGGCGAGTGCGGAATGAGTATTCCGTCTATGCCGCGCAGTGGAGACATCCTCCCCCGGACTGATGCGTTGTTCGTTGACCTATAAGAAACGGCTTTTACTGATCCGGTGGCTTATGACTGGCTAATGAACGGCCATGTTACCCCAGCTCTTGTTTCCCCGAGTTCTCGAAACTCGGAAATATGCCGTAGCCGAGCCAAAGAAGAACCCTGAGATGGAGGGGGCCTATAAGAGATGCATGCGTCTCCCACTGGTCATGAAAATCTGCAATTTCTTGTCAAACTTCCTCTATCATGGCGATCCAAACACTTGCAGTCGCCGTTATCACGGTGGTGTATTTCATCATTCGCTATTTTAACCGCACCGATATCCCTAAGATCAAAGGCCTCCCGGAGATCCCTGGAGTACCCATCTTCGGAAACCTCCTGCAACTAGGAGATCAGCATGCAACAGTCACGGGGAAATGGGCAAAGAAGTTTGGACCGGTTTTCCAAGTGCGCATGGGAAACAAGGTAAGTGCTTCGCTTTCACATGGGAGGTGACGAGGGAGTTTGTAATCTAATGTCCAATTAGCGCATCGTGTTCGCCAACAGCTTTGAATCCGTCCGTCAATTGTGGATTAAGGATTCATCCGCTCTGATCTCCCGCCCGACTTTCCACACTTTCCACAGCGTTGTCTCCAGCTCACAGGGGTTCACCATCGGAACATCGCCGTGGGATGATTCCTGCAAGAAACGCCGTAAGGCAGCCGCCACAGCGCTGAACCGACCGGCCGTGCAATCCTACATGCCTATCATCGATCTCGAATCCAATTCCAGCATCAAAGAACTTTACCGGGACAGCCAGAATGGCAAACGTGATGTGAATCCCACTGCATACTTCCAGCGATTTGCCCTCAACACCAGTTTGACTTTGAACTATGGCTTCCGCATTGAGGGGAATGTGGATGATACGCTGCTGCACGAAATTGTGAACGTGGAGCGTGGCGTGTCTAACTTCCGCAGCACTTCAAATAACTGGCAGGATTACATTCCCCTGTTGCGAATCTTCCCCAAGATGAACAAAGAGGCCGCAGACTTCCGGGGTCGCCGCGATAAATATCTGACCTACTTACTCGATATCCTCAAGGATCGGATCGCCAAGGGTACCGACAAGCCTTGCATCACTGGTAATATCTTGAAGGACCCCGAAGCTAAGCTGAATGATGGTAAGTTATAAAAAATTCCCGTGTTTGTTGAACTGAGTACTCATATTTTGTCTAGCCGAGGTGAAATCGATCTGCCTGACTATGGTGTCGGCTGGTCTTGACACTGTTCCGGGTAATTTGATTATGGGAATTGCCTACCTGGCATCTGAAGACGGTCAAAGAATTCAGAAGAAGGCCTATGATGCGATCATGGAGGTCTACCCAAATGGGGATGCTTGGGAGAAATGCTTGGTAGAGGAGAAGGTCCCCTATGTAACTGCACTGGTCAAGGAGATATTGCGATTCTGGACAGTCATTCCTATTTGTCTGCCACGCGAGAGCACCAAGGATATCCAATGGAATGGAGCCACAATTCCTGCTGGCACGACTTTCTTCATGGTAAGCCGCTCCTTGTTTCTGTCCTATTCGTAAATTACTAACAGAGCCTTTAGAATGCTTGGGCTGCCGATTACGACGAAGATCACTTCAAAGATGCCGATAAATTCATCCCGGAGCGTTATTTGGAGGTCAACGAGGGCGCAGGTACTCCACACTACGCATATGGAGCTGGTTCACGGATGTGTGCAGGCTCACATCTCGCTAATCGCGAACTGTTTACTGCTTTTATCCGCCTCATCACTGCTTTCCACATGCACACGGCGAAAGATGCAGCCGACCGACCAATCCTTAATGCAATTGAGTGTAATTCGATTGCGACAGCCTTGACAACCGAGCCAAAGCCATTCAAGGTCGGATTTAGTGCACGCGACCCTAAGAAGCTTGAGCAGTGGATCGCCGAGAGCGATGAACGCACCAAGGATCTGTAAGAGGACCATATTTTGGTTTCCTTTTTGAAAAGAATTCTGTTCAATGTGGTTTCCTCTATTTTTCGGAGGCCATTTATGTATCTACAATATGTGAAATGAAAGACAAGGGAGTATAGATATAGACCCGTGTTGGACCTATATAATCGACTTTGGCCTCTCTGCAGGCCTTTAAGAACCTGAATGTAGATTAGTTATCTGCTAGTTCTGAGATTCAATTCCTAAATGGCACATTTTCCCAGTCTATACCAGTCTGTCTCATTTGATAATTCCCCCGGGGTTCCAAGGTTTGTGGCGGTTTCCCCGGCAGAATCTCCCCGCATTTTCTCTCCGCACTTTTCTTCCTCTTCACCCTGTTCCGTTCAGTTGACATCTGATCGCTTTAAATTGTCTTCAATTGCATCGCCTTGGATGATGAATACCCCGCATGTTTACCCTGCCCCCGAGAGCTGGGATAACCCACATTCGGTCGATGATACGAACGATGATCGCCCGCGGAAACGCCGCAAATACATCGCCAAAGCCTGGTCAGTTTGGAAAGGTTCTCATTCGAGATGGAGTCCTAACGAGATAGTGAAGTAATGGATGTAAACGTCGCAAAATCAAGTGCAATGGCCAGTCACCCTGCCAGCGTTGCGGACGCCAGCATATTGAGTGTATATACGTTGAGAACCCTCGAGACAGTCCCGCCGAACAAGAGTAATGCCCACCCCAGCTCGGGGCGTTTAAAACACCACTAATTATGCTTTCAAAGCAACTTCAAGCTACTTTTCGATCAAATGAGGGCCACGCAGGACCAGATTTCCCAGTTGTCTGCCAGTATTCGGTCAATAGCCGGCAGCGAACATTCTCCTGGGGGTATTTCCGCTACCGGCACCTATGGGCAGCTCCATACTCAGCGTCCACTTAGACGCCTGTCAACAGCTAGAGAGACATCATTTCAAGGCCCGACGACATCGGCCTTTAGTTTTGACCTTGCGAAATCTAGCCTGCAGCAGCGCGGGATTGTGGAACGTGCTGAGGCTGGCGACGAGGGCGATATGACTCAAGAACCTTCACCGCTGGCGTCGCCATCGGCACCAAATAAGGAACTTGAAACACACCAGGCTCTTGATCCACTTTGTGTTCTTCCCAAAGCCGAGGCACTTCGCCTTTGCCAAGTCTATGAGGAGGAAATGGGCATCATGTACCCGGTCCTGGAGCTTTCGGAGCTTTTGGACCAGGTTAATCTTCTCTACGGGCCGAGGGACCGCGCACTTGGACCGACCGCCCAGCCCGAGGGACGGAATGGACTGTTTCGCGAAGACGTCCATATCCTACGTGTAGTTTTTGCGTGTGCGTTGACCGCTGAAGCCAGTGGTCGGAGTGAACAGGCTATTGCTCTCTTTGACAGTGTACGAGAAGTTCAGGACAATTGTGTCTGGGGTCCGCCCGAAATCAAGAGCATCATATTTCTGACTCTCGTGGTTCGTCATACCCAATCAAATATGAATGCGACATGCTAATTACAACGATAGTCAATGTTCTATTTTCAAATAGATGAGGAAATTTTAGCGTGGCGCACTGTTGGTATTGTTGAGCGCATGTGTCTCGAAAAAGGTCTTCATCGGCGGGAAACTCTAAATCAACCGGCAATCATGGCTGTTGGGAAAGATCGCGTTTTGCGACTCTTCTGGTCTGTATATATTTTGGATATGCGTTGGAGCTTCGGGACTGGAATGCCGTTTGCTCTGGAAGATACAGATATTGACCCTTGGCTACCAGAGCCGGCCGAGAAAACGCCCTATCTGCGCGTGATGATCCGGTACAGCCGGATCGCAGCGAAGGTATGGAAGTTTATATCAGCATTCAACAACACAAACGAAATCAAAAAGGAAGAGATGAACTATTTGGATTGGCAGGTGTTGCGTTGGGTGCATGCCATTCCAGACTCGTTGCGGCTCGAACATCCGAGTTCTGCGGAGTCTGAGACTGCTACCGAAGGCTCACGGAGCCTGCGCAGACTGCGTGCTCTCCTTTATCTTCGTGCTAATCAGCTACGCATGCTCATTCACCGTCCCGTCCTTCATACTTCAGCGCATGTTATGCGGTATCCAGGCGAATCAGAAACCGTGGTGAAAATCGCCAAAGATACAATTCGCTTCATTACCCGCTTGAACGATACATCGGACATCTATCATTTACAGCAGGTGGCTTTTAATTGGTTTCTCGTCTCAGCACTTGCAGCGTTATTCCTGGCAGTAGCCCAGGCTCCAACACAATTCAGTGGATCATGTAAGGAGGAGTTTTACTGGGCATTGGAGCTGGTCAAAGGAGTCTCAGCCCAGTCTTATATCTCTCGCCGGCTATGGAGGTCTATTCGAAGCCTCCGTAAGCTTGGTCCTCAACTGGGTCTGGGGCTTCAGAAAAAGTGCCTGGATATCGAAGCGGGAGTCGAAAGTGACCATTCAAATGTCCACGGTTCCCCCGCATTACCCCTTTCTGCCAGTAGCCAGAGTCAGACACCACAAGACGGGGAACAGATGACACAGGAGTTGATGGAGTGGTTTGAAGCCGTGGGGAATCTGGAGGACCAAATAATGGGCATGGGGACGGGCCCTATGCCAAATGGAGGACCTTACCAGCAAATGCCCGACGGGGGGTTTGTGTTTGATTACGGCGAAGAATTGTCAAGTGTGATGAGAGATTTCTTCTGATTATGTACAACATGTGTCGATGTGAAGTCTTAGACATGCGAATTTGAAAAAAAAAGAAAAGGGTGGGGGAGGTTAAGACTGACAATATCCAACATTGTCTCCGGATTTGTGGTTACATTAAGAACTCTGTTCTGTTTCTGATTTCATGATAATATGTGTAGTACCCCAGAAAGAATATCCCAATATTGGAGAGGAGAAAAAAAGACAGACGTGAAGCAATATATGAATGTGAATTCCCCGGGGTATTCGATTTCTTCCCGTGTGTTGTACCGTGCCAACATCGAGGTTGAACTAGTAGATATATTTAAAGTCCAGTTCCCCATCGCCCGTTTGGACTCGCCGAGTCTCTTCTCTTTCACCACTGATAATTTGCTCCTTCACCTTGTTCTCTTGCCGCAAGTAGAGACCATATACAGTTACTGTGACCTGCGCCACCGCAAGGGACCCTAAGGAGAAGGAGTTACCCAGCACATAAGGTGATGTGCGATATACCTGACCGGCAACAATACCAGAACAGTTGGCGACTGTCTGCTGGAGACCAATTGCGAGAGCACGACGGTATTGTGGGGCGACATTCACGTTCAGCCAGGCGATATTGAGACCAACGGACGTGTAGGTGGTGATACCGATGAGAAAAGTGGCAAAGTATAGGACGGCTGTATTCTCTACCGTGAGAAGTATGATGTAACCGACGATGCCGAAGATATTAGCTGCGAAGATGTACTGTGAAAGAGTTAGTGAGAAACGGTGCACTAGAGATTGCAAGGGGCTAAACGCACCGATGCAAATTGGGAATATCGGTCTGAGCACCAAGCAATTGCGATAAAGATCATGGCAGCCCAGACATAGACTGGAACCGTCAAGACGTTGCTCATCAGGGAGTCATAGCCCATGCCACGCAAGATAGTTGGCAGGAAAGTGCTGAACCCATACAAGAGAATATCCTGACAGAACTGGATGAGAGCGCTGAACATCAACTTGGGGTCTCTGATTGCGATGCGCATTTCTTCCCAGCTAAACTCTTCACTTCCCATATACCTGCGACGCTGCTCGTTGCGTACCCGCATCATCCATTTCTCCTCTTCGGTGAGGAAGTAGGCTTCAGCCGGGTTATTTGGCAAACCGAACCAGATGAGGATGGCACAGATGAAGCTAAACAGCCCTTCGATGATATAAACCCATCTGAAACATTGTAAGCCACAATATCCTTTTGAGTGGGATAACGAGAAGCATACCTCCATCCTGCTTTGCCACCAATCCCGTCCATCTGCAAGAGCCCGTAGGCCAAGAGACCACCTACAGCCCCCGAGATGGCAGCGCAACTCATCAAATAGGAAACGCGCTTTGCTTGCTCCTCTCGACGATAGACCATGGTTAGGTAGAGATTGAGACAAGGGAACAGCCCGGCTTCGCAAGCGCCCAAGATAAGACGAGTCGCGTAGAGAGAGCCTACCGACTGGATAAATCCGGTGAAGATGGTGGTCAGGGACCAAACGATGCATAGCCCCGTCAGGATGTTGCGAGGTGTCAATTTCTTCATCATGACCGCCCATGGTGCTTCGAAAAGAACATATGTCACATAGAAGATGGAGACAGCGGTCGAAAACTGCTCTGTTGAAGCGTTGATATCCTCAGGCATATTGGCAACCTTAACATTTCCTAAGCTTTGTGAGCTTTATGCTCTTTCTTGGAGATTTAATCAAACTCACCGATACTCGATCTGTCCAGGAAACAAGTGAGATAGGTCAACATAATGATGGGTACAAAGGCAGTATCCAACTTGGCGAGGAGTTTTGCCTCTTTCTTTGGATCTAACACCACATCCAAAAATTCGGCGACGGCATAATTGGCTTCTTCGGCATCCTCTTTTTGTAAGGAATCTTTCAGCTCCAAGGGTATATTGTGAACGGTATTGTGGGACATGGCTGCAATGGGGGTTGCAGCAAAATCGAGGGTTTATTGAAACAAGTCAGAACTAATGACCATTTTAAGAATGTTTCGATCGTGACATAGTGGATCATAGTGAAACGGACTCTTATCTTGGGCCACGCGATACTGGAAGCCGAGTCCACTGTGAGTGGGTCTATCGGGCCGATGGTGATAAGAGATGGCAGCAGGTGAGAGGTTGAAGAGGTGAAGAAGGGCCAATAGAGGGCCAATGAGAAGGGTATTGAGGGGATATCAATTAATGCAAGCCAATCCGATGATGCGAACAGATCCTCACCAGAAGAGGCAAGTCGATACGGAGGTGCGCGTATGTAGTGGGATGTTCAGGTGTAAGAGACCTAACTAGGGTTACCATCCCCGATTAATAATCTGCCGGCAATTTGATTCTCCACCAGTTGAAACTTGACGACAGCGGGCGGTATATCCCTCTTGGAAGGCGGTGTACTATCTGTGGGGTCTTCCCCAACCTTTTCCCCAGACCTATCGGTATGTGGATTCCGAAAATGATAACCGAGGGTATCTGATTGTCAAGAGGTAGATATTAATATGATTGATATGTAAATTGTTGCCTTCTACTTTTCCGAGAGGAAGCTCAATATGGACAGTCTCGCCCAGCAGGCACGACTGCGCTGTCGCTACAATCAACTGACCAATACCGCGGGTGTTGCACCGGGATATTTACAAGCAAATCTTCTGGTACTTCCTTCGAAATATGCTGCGGATTTCCATGATTTGTGTTTGCGCAACCCAGTTCCTTGTCCCTTACTGGGAATAACCACTGTTCCTGGTGACCCAAACGCCGTTAGACCGGCAGAATGTATTCGGTCCGGAGATTTTGATATTCGGACGGATTTTCCCAAATACCGAGTATATTCGGGCGGAAAGTGCATTGAGAGTCGGCATGACTTGTCCGATTTATGGACTAAGGAACATGTGGGCTTTTTAATCGGGTGTTCGTTCTCCTTTGAGGATGCCCTGACGGCGGCTGGGTTGCCACCGCGTCACCAAAAGACTGGCACCATAGTTGCAATGTACCGATCAAACATTCCATTGTTACCCGCTGGAATATTCACAGGCGGCCACTGTATTGTATCCATGCGACCGTATCGTCCGGAGCAAATCGAGAGAGTGAGGGACGTTACTCGGGCCTATCTGTCGACGCATGGAGAGCCTGTCGCCTGGGGATGGGATGGTGCGCAGCAACTAGGAATTCTTGATGTGGCAAAGCCAGACTTTGGAGAACAGCAAATGTTCGAGGAGGGCGAAGTTCCCGTGTTTTGGGTAAGTTAGGTAGTCACATATCCACCTTCGACGGTTTGATCTGACTTCATCCCAGGCCTGTGGAGTTACACCTCAAATTGCCGTCGAAGCAGCAGGTGATAAAATCAAAGGTCTGGTCTTTGCCCACGAGCCCGGACACATGCTAGTCACGGATTGGACAGCAGAAGACCTGCAGAAACTCAAACCCGGAAGCATCTAGAACAAAAAAAAAGAAATCAACATGAATCCATACAATCATCAACGTGATGATACTTCTCGGCTCTATTCTCTTGTGACCCAACACAGTATCAACTTGAAAGTCTTCAAACACCATCGCGATATCATCCCCAATGGCAACAATGCCAACGACCGAACCAGTCAGGTTGTAATTGGTTAGGGGGTTTGGGCCAGATGGAAGTTGTTTCATATTCTTTGTGGTTATTCTAATGTGATTCCTCGGAAGGAGATCTCGTCTCTTCATCGAATACCTTCTTTCCCCTATACCACGTTTGGCACACTCGAGCTTCTTAAAGGGACTCCGGTGCCCAGATCATATCAACCACAACGAAATTGGCTTTGAATCCCGCACGCAGAATCCCTGTCCATGATTCAGAAAAAGACGCATATGCAGTCCCCGCAGTAGCTGCCGACACAGCGGTCGCGAGGGAAACAGCGCATTCAGGATTGATGGTATCTTGCAGGGAGGGCTGGATAGAGGACCGCCGGGTGGTAGCAACGTAGAGATTGGGCAGTGCCTGATGGTTCGCAGTGGGGGAATCGGTGCCAAAGGCCAAATGAGCACCGCCTTCGACAAACTCTTGGTAAGCGAAAGCTCGCTTGCAACGCTGAATCTCAAGCATCTCTGGCCACCCACCAAAGGTCGCTGGGTCAAGGTGGACAGGCTGGACTGAGGCCACTATCCCGAGTTGACCAAGTCTTTTAGCGTCTTCGGGGGTTGTTATCTCCAAATGTTCAATGGGATGACGACAGGCTGGCAAGTCCTGAATTTGGCATAAACAGTCAATAGCCTGCTGCACTGTTCGATCCCAAACTGCGTAGATGACGCACTGCAGGCCAGCATTAGTAGCACGGCAAATAGCTAATGAAAGGGCATCGGCTGGCCAGATAGGATCGACGATATTGGACAATCCACCATATGCTTGGTGTAATCCCGCTGTACATCCATCCACTGTGCCGTCACAGAGTAGTTTGATTCCATTGATACAAAATTCCGAGGATATTTTTCTGTTGAAGGTTTGTTGAATCTCAATGGCGCGATCAATGTGACTGCAGATATCGGCATCGCATTTTGAGTAAGGTACCAACCAGTGTACCGCAACATGCATCGGGAGCTCACCACGCTGATTTCTGTACATATTCAACGCCACCCATCCACTCTCCCCCATAGCCATATCGACGAGTCCAGTATACCCAGCGCGTTGATGCGCACGGATTGCAGCATCAATCGCAGCCACCTTGTTCTTCATAGACATGACCCGGTCCAAAAATGGCCAAACAACGTCGAATTGCGCCGCCTCTTCGAGTAGGCCGGACGGGGTCCCATTCTGATAGCGATGAATTTTTCCGCCTGGAGGATCGGGTTTCGACTCAGCCTCTAGCTCTTTGAGAGCTGCATTATTGCACCACGTTGAGTGAAGGTCTAATGCCTCAATGTAGATAGGTCGCGGATCTAGGTCGTCCAGTACAGTTGCGGAAGCGTTACCATCCGTAACTGACTGGACCCAACCTCGGCACAAAATGCGTGGATCTGATGGGTGAGTTGCTGCGTAGGT